AAGAGTCCCCAGTAAAATGATTTGTTTTTTTAAATAATGAAAATAAAGCAATAAGCCACTCAGGAAAAAAAAGAATACTTCCTTGTGCTCATTAAGGGCCTTCACGTGTATCAAGAGGCAGTTGTACCAACAGAACAAGGCACTGCTGCATGGTTTAAAATCAAGGAAGATTTAAAATCAAGAGAGAAGCGAGTAGGATTATGGGAAGAAAGGCTTATTAACAACCTGAAAGTAAAGAAGACCAAAGTTCTGACAACTGGACTAATGGGTAGCATCATGATACATTTTAAAATATTGAAGAGCGAGGATGGTACTTTGAGGACTAAGGTGCCCTGAGCCAAGCCATGGTGTTCTCCATTGCCTCACATGCCTGAGAAAGCTGGACAGTGATAAGGAAGACTAGAAGAATGGATGCATTCTAATGGTGATGCTAGAGAATATTGAAAGGGCCACTGACATCTAAAAGGAAAAACTGATTTGTGTTGGAAGAAGTAAGGCCAGAGTGTTCCCACGTGGGAGGATGTCAAGACGTCGTCTTCCATCCTTCGGACATATTATCAGGAGAGTCCAGTGCCTGGAGAAGGACATCATGTTTGGTAACGTGGACGGGCGGTAGAAAGGAGGAGGGCCCTCCACGAAATGGATGGACACAGGGGCTGCATCAGTGGGCTCAGCAGAGGACCAATTGGGAGGACGGGACAGAATCGGGAAGTGTTTTTTCTGTTGTGCATAGCGCCACCATCGGTCGGAACCAACTCACTGGCACCTAACAACAACAGTCATCGTTGTTGTCCTTGTTTACTTGACATGAGTAAACTGAAGAGTAAACTAAAATACTGTGGCTAAGGATTTCCATCCACCTCAATTATTCCCAAGTTCAGCCTCTTTACACCACTTACTTCATGCTGCCTCTACTTTCAGTGATGTGCCCTTGCCTGTCCATGAATTGTGCAAGGAACCATTTGCTACACAAACCTAAATGCCTTTCCTCTTAAAGTATCAGATATAGTCTAGGTTCCTGTCAGCATTAAAATAATACCCCTTCTTCGTTTAATTAGGCTGGCACCCTCATGAATCATCACCCAACATATTTTCCTGTAAGATTTCTACAATAAAAGAGCATCCTTCACCAAATTCTCCATTGGCAGAGATATCTTTGAAAATGTCAAACCTCGAAGGAAAGAAAACAGATCCTCCTCTATTTCGGTCTCCTATCCTAACAAAATCCGATTACTGTAGCAGTAACAGCTCATCTGCTTACTATCAAGATCAGCCGGTATTGGGCTTTCAAGATGACAGATGATTCACGTGTCCCCACATTACCTTCAGATCAGGGGCCATATAAGGTGACCAGCCGTCCCGCTTTTGGCGGGACAGTCCCAATTTTTGGAAAGAATGCATGACAAGCTAGGGAACGATCTATTTGGTCCATATAGATCAAATTTTAAATCAAGAACACCACCCCACCCCACACCGGTCAATGGTGTCCCGCTTTAAATCTGGTCACCTTAGGCTATCTACGTGGCTAGCATTTACACAGACCTGGAGTAACTATTCTGAAGATACTACAATTTTCAATAAAACTCAATTACATTTATATTCTTCATCGAACCGCAGCACAACTAATTGATCTGACACAATGACCCTAAGGTGTTCTTTTACCAGATGTTGGTGGTAAACCTTTTCATTATTGTTGAGACTCTCCTTGATCCAAGGATGATCTCCTCTCTCTGGAATTGCTGTCTTTGATACAACTCAAGAGTTTAGAGGAAAAGGATACCTACATAGCTAGATTTAAGATATAACCTTGTGATTACAATGATTACAGTGATGGTTATCATTAAAAATAATTTCCATTACAAAAATAAAAGTGGCACTTTAAAGGACATTTTAAAAATACGTATTAAGAAAAGAAAAAAATGGAGACTATCCCCTAAATCATCCTTTCCAAGCACAGTTACTTGGAATAGTCTGATATGCCCCCACTCAATATGTCAATATATTTTTATAACAACATTCACTCTGTGCATTTAATTTTGTAGACTGTTTACCTAACTCAATCTTAGTTCATAAATTGTTTTATTATATTTTCTTTGTAACATCATTTTCAAAGTTGGATTTAATTGAATAAGTAGACATGGTTCACTCAAAAGTCAACCTATAATTGGACATTTTTTGAGTTACCAAGTTATTGGCATTTATAAACATGATATGAATTGTCTGTATTTAGAATTATTTTCTTAGAATCAATTTCTCAAGATAGAATAACTAAGTCATACCTATAAACAATATTAAACTTCTTGATAAGTGTTGACAACTTATCAACCATATTTGTATATAGGCAATCGCTGAGTTAAGAATGTTTGACTGACTGCTCATACTTTCCCTTTAATGTGATTTAAATTGGCCCTAGCTTCGAGGTTATTCAACCAATCCCTGTTTGCAACAAATTCTTCATGACAATCACCTTTACATGCTAAACTTGCAAGTTTTAAAACATGGGAAAGATCTCAAGCCTTTTCTTGTATTAAAGTGAGGCTCAGTAAGAATGGAGGCACCTGCTCCAATTTACCTACAAAGACTTAGGAGTGGATCTTCTTCCTCATTTGAGAACTCCCTGTCTATCCAAACTATACACTCTTGGCAAAATTTTGAGATTTGCCATTTATCTACTCTCTCCTCTAAAACTCCCACTCTCTACCTGTCTCTCTCTCAATTGCCCCTTGTCTCTTCACTCCCCACCTCTACGTACCTTGATTACCTTGCTCCATGGTGACCCACTGATCTCAGGCCAATCTCTGGCACCTACCCCAGACTCACTTTTCTCTGTGACAAGCCAGTTGTTAGAGAGTTGGTTCCAACTCATGCCAAGCCCATGTGGGTCGAATTATGCTTCATAGTGTTTTGGGTGACTGATTTTTCAAGTAAATTACTAGGCCTTTCTTTTAAGGTACCTCTGGATATACTTGAACCTCCAGCTTTTTGAGTAGCAGCTGAACTTGTTCATAGTTTGCATGACCCGGGGACTTACTTTATTAGTGTCTTACCAGGTATATGAGCTCAGGCATTACCCTTATTAGATATGAGAAGCTTTGAAAAATTCATGAAAAAATTCCATTTTTTTAATTTTAATAGACACCATCTATATGTTTACTCAAAAGAGAATGAAAGCGAGAGAGAGAGAGAAAGCAGGGAGGGAGGAGAAGAAGGGAGAGAGGAAAGAGTGTGGGCATGGCCCACTTGTGATAAAAAATGTGGACAAAAAATTTAGGACAAATTATTCTCATTGTACTGTTGATACATTTATATTATACCACTTATTAAGTTTCTCAACCTACCTATTGGTTATGAGACATGACCTTCTTTTCAATTGACCAATTTTTTAATGTGTATCTTCTTCTCATATGTACACATTAGTGGCATTGGAGCTCATAGAAATTAGGTGGGAGACTGAATGTTCTACTATAGAATGATGTAAGTCTTAATTTCCTGGATAAATTGTCAAGAATAGTCATTGATTGATGAAGTGATGAAATGATTTGAATTAGCTTTGATTCCTAATGTACTGCTGATGGGCTGCTAAGTTTACTCAAATGTCAGGGAACCAGTTGGCAGCTATCAGTATTTTCTTAGCAACAACTTCGTTCTTGTTTTCCTCAATATGAAAAAGTCAATAAGGACAAGGAAATATCGAGGTAACCTTTGAAATCTATTATTATGCAACTGAAGTTACTTCTGGTGCTAGGGAGAAAACACACCCAAGCACAAATATTATAGGAAATTTTAGACAATAATATTTGTCAGTTAGACTATGATTAGAAATCATTTCTCTGTGTACTCCCCAAGCTAAGCTGGTTTTAAATCCGTTTACGGTCTCAAATGTTACAAATGATATGGTAGGCCACATTGAACTGTAAATCATGCCATTAAAGATGGAATATCCTGTGCTTATCTGATCTGGTTGCTAAGTGCCCACTCTCCTTGACTCAGGGCCCACACAGACGAGAGGCACCAGGAGCAGTAAGAGAGCAGACTGCAGAAACAGCGGTAGGAACCCGCTGGAAATGAATGGAGGAAAACGGTCCCAAGATTTTAAGGTAATTCAGACAAATGAAGTGAGCAAGGCTCACATGACATTAAAATATCATGAAAGGAGGGCCCAGATAGGAACTAACTGGAACTTGTTTCAAGCCTACTAAGGGATATTTCAAACAAAAAGCACACATGACCTCTCCGGGCTACGTAACTACGTGCTAGTTGTTTAAACTCCCACCCCAACAGGTAAATAGAACCCCAAAATGGCAAAGTTATGTAATGGACTGGATTGTTCTGTATTTAAAAATATGTAGTGCTGGCTATGGTAACGCATATACTAAAAATGTAAGTCTACAGAGAAGATAAGCCCCCACACAAGTATGACGCTCAAATTTGTGAAGCATTCCATATTTTGTATGTTTTTCTGTATATGACATCAAGAAATGGGAGATCTATAGAAACTGTAGCTGGATTAATGGTTTCTTGGGGGCTCTGTCAAGAGAGGTTAGGGAGAAATGGAAAGCTAAAAATAGTACAAGAAAGAAGAAAATGTTCTAAAATAGATTGTGGTAGTGATTGCACAGCTCTTCTTGATATGATTGCAATGTTGAGTTGGGTGATAGGTGGATTATGTGACAATAAAACTGTTTTAAAATGTTTTAATAAAAATATATAAACATAGCTATACATAATGTGGAAGACAGCTATGTGAAGATAGAGGCAGATATCTATAAAAACTATGAATAGCCTTGAGAAGAATTGGAACTCTAGAATACTTCATTGTACTCATGTGGAATTTGTTCATGGATCAAGCAATCCGCATTTGGCAAACTTAACAGGGGAATACTGGATGGTCTAAAATTGGGAAATGTGTGAGCTAGGGTTGTATCTTCTCACCAGATTCATGCTACCTGTATGCTAAGCAAATTGTCAGAGAAACTGGACTCTATAACGACTTCCATATCAGGATTGGAGGAAGGTGTTTTAACCACCGAGGCAGGTGACACAATGTTGACTTGCTTGCTGGAAGTGAGGAGGACTTGAACCGCTCACTAATGAAGATCCAGGATTGCACCCATCAGTATGAATGACAACTCAATGTCAAGAAGACCAAAATCCTCACAACTGGACCACTAAGTAACATAAGTGGGGGGGAAACTGAAGTCACCAAGAATTTCATCTTGCGTGGATCTACTACACTCAGTGCTCAGGGAAGCAGAAGTCAAAAGATCCAACACTTCATCTTCATGTGAAAGTTAGGCATTGAGCCCAGTTCCTCAAAAAGGTATCATGCTTGAGAAAGCAGAGGGGCAGCAAAAAAGAGATAGACCCCCAAGAAGATGGGCTGACCCAGTAGCTGCCAGTGGACTCAAATTAGCAACAGTTCTGAGGACTGGCCAGGGCTTCATTCTGAAGGATGTAGGGTCTCTGAGTACCATGGAGGAAGCAACTCCGTGATCCCGCACACCAACAATAGCCTCAGGCAGGAAGGTTACAGGGAAGATAGTATGCCTACCTACTTAAGGGAGAAATCCTTCTTGCTTTATAAGTGATATACAACTCTTGGGTATATCAGAGAGATTTGACTACGAACAATTAATTTTCAGATACTTAAAAGATATACACAATAATGGTGGCTAAGGGCCAGATTTCCAGAGCTGTATAGGTCTGAGTTTAAATTCCTACTTTACTACTGACCTCCAGGTGTGATTATATCACGTTCTTGTGTTTTAGTTTCCTCATCTGAATAATAGAGATGATAATGGTAACTAGTGTCTTTGTAAAAATATAAATTGCTTGTTCAAGTTGTGCAAAACACAGGATCTAGGGCAATGGCTCTCAATCACCCTAATACCTTGACCCTTTAATACAATTCCTCATGTTGTGGTGACCCCAACCATAAAATTATTTTCATTGCTACTTTATAACTGTAATTTTGCTACTATTATGAATCATAATGTAAATATATGATATGCAGAATGTATTTTCATTGTTACAAATTGAACATAATTCAAGCATAGTGATTAATCACAAAACAAAATGTAATTATATATTGTGAAATATTTATTTCTTATTACAAATAAATGAAATTTTATCTTGAAGCATGGTGCAGCATGGGTAACAGTCTTCATGCCAGGTACTCATATGTGAGCTTATCTGCATGTGGGCAGACCCACCTGGAGACAGACAGAGGAGCGGTGTCTCGGTTTCTAAGACCATCAGAATACGTGTTTTCCGATGGTCTTAGGCGACCCCTGTGAAAGTATAATTCAATCCCCAAAGGGGTCGCAGCCCACAGGTTGAGAACTGCTGATCTAGAGAGTAATGAGCCCTCCATAAATTTTAATAGTGCTTATGTTAGGAATCCAAGACTACCTCTCACCCCAAACAACAACAGAAAAAAATCCACTACCAATGAATTGATTATTACTTATAGTGACTCTACATAAGGTTTCCTAGACTATAAATCTTTATTATTTTCTTTCAAACCATTTTATTAGGACCTAATCCAGACTTTATACCATCCCATAGTTCAATCATATCAAGCAGTGTTGTACAATCATTAACACAATCAATTTCAAAATATTTTCTTCCTTCTTGTACTCCATGATAGCAGCTCTCCATTGCTCTCCCAGCCTCCCCTGATGTGCCACCCCCCAAACTCTAGTTATTGTCTCTATAGATGTATCCATCTGGGTATCATTACCAAAAATCATAGAAACTAAATAACAGGGAGTCATGAAGGGTACCAACAATAGCAAAATACAACATAGATAAACCTCAATATAAAAAAAATGACAGCAAATATTAAAAACCAGATCAAGCAATTGTAAACATTCAAGTCAGATTTATCATTTTAATCTACAATAGTCATTTCTATAATACTCTGTCTCATTCCCATCCCTGGAGTATGTTAGAGGGAAATTGCCAGAGGCGTATTCCCTGTGTAGATCCTGCAAACGTATTTGCAAACTTCCACTGTCATCCAAAGCACCCTGCACACCAGAATCTCCCAATGTAAACTCTGCTACTATTCCCTCCTTTGGATTTGGGTTATATAATTTATAATTCTTGGATCACAGATGTTGATGGGCTTCTTCTATGTGGGCTTCGATGGTTCATTTAGATGACTGCTTGTTTGAAAACAAGCCATTAAAGCCCCAGATGCTATTCTTTCTGATAGTTGGGTACCATCTGATTTCTTCACTGTACTTTGCTATAGCTCCCATATCTTCCATGTTTCCTTCGTGAAAGTGAGTATTGAACAGGGACACATCATAAAATCTAATTGTTCTTGTATTGGAGCTAGGATTAAGTGCTAGTCCTAAATCCACTCTGGAATCTATGTTTCCTATCTGCTTCTGGCTCACCTTAGAAATATTTTTCCTAATTTATTGTAGAGAATCTTATTGATCATCTCCCTAGAGCATAAAGACCTTCTGTTTATAGTGACACTGCTTAATCCCATAGTAATGATTTTAAAATAATATGAAGAAAGGGAGATCGAACAAGTGTAGGCTAACTACAAATCACAATACAGGGATTATTGATTTGTGCAGAATAAATCCTTAGGTGACTGGACACTATTTAAACAAACAATGGGAGTTGGTGGTATGGTAGTTACATAATCTGTGGTCAATTTGAGACTTACGAGTGAAGGGGTGGAGGTTAGCCCTGTAAATCAGATTGCAGCTTGATGACCTCCTCTGGAGGTGTTAAGAAGATAAATAGCTCGCTGGAGTCAGGATACAGGCTCATTTCCTGGGAGACATTACAGCTAACAAGAGACATGGAGCTACACTAGTGCCCTGAGCTGGAAGAGCCACGTGGAGATCCCTGCCAGCCATTACAACACCACTGAATCCACAAGACTTCCCACCCACTGGCCTGTGATCTTCCTGCATTCGGCATCATTTCATGTGTTTCGTGAGTCTGAAGAGGACTCTATAGATTGGTATCAGACATATGGGCTAATACTGGATTTATGGACTGGGCTGAGATGGTTTCTTAATGTAGACTTACTCTTTATATAAATCTCTTTCTTATACACATGTGCATGTCTATGAATTTGTTTCTCTAGTCTATCCAGACTAATACAGGTGGTCAGGAAAAACTTACAATAACATTCACTGAAAATGTCAGCCATAGGTCTACCAGAATAATACACTTCTTAAAAGAATAAATAAGGCATTGGAATATTAAGTAAATTTTAGTTTGCCGGCCGACAGTTCCATACTCTTGTATAACTATCTTCTGCTTCTTCACACACTATGTAGTTTTAGTCTGAAATCCTCTGGTTAAGGTGTGTTTGAGGTAGAACCTAGTTCATCTGTTTCCACATTGTATTTCTCTGGTGTGGCCTTTGGAGCATGTTGTATGTTTTGAAGATCCAGGGTTCAATGTCCCAGTATTCTGTGTATGGCACATGGCCTGAGTCCCCATGGGATGACCAGAAACTCGGATCAATGTAGCTTATTAGGAGCCTAGTACCAGACATGTTCCCCCTCTTAGAGTCCTTAAAAGTACTGTTTGTCATCCCTCCACCACTGCTAGAAAATTGGTCCTCCCCCATTTTCTGTCAACATACATGCACTTGTCTTCTCCAAGATGTGTATGCATACATTTCCTCACTCCTGCCTTGATTTTCCCATGTGTCTCCTTCATCATTATGGTAGGAATGTCTGCCGGTCTGAGGGACCCCTGCACCCCTTTTGTATGGCAGCCACTCAGCAGTCATCTTCCCCTCCCTCTCTCTCAAAAATCCGATCTCAGTTGAAGTGAGGACCCGTACATCAAAGTGGTCTTCAAGATACACACATAGAGAGGATATAGTGGATGGTTTATGGACATCAGTCAGCCTCTTTACCAAGATACCTAGCCGACCTGGCCAGGGAACTGAATGGCCTGAGCCTGCTCCCATTCTGTTGTCCATCCCTACCCAGTGGGCTCACACAATATTTGTCCTTTCCTGATTGACTAACTTCACTCAGCAGAATGGTTTCTACATATCTCTATGTCATGTGGCTTCGTTATTTTTCAGGGATGCGTAGTATTCCTTTGTGTGTATATATCAAAGCTTTTTAATTCATTCTGCTGATGGGGATTTAGGCTGTTTCCAATTTCTGTCTATTATGAACATTGATGCAAAGAACATGGGAGAGCATACATCTGCTCATGATCTAGCTTTTACTTCTTTGGGGTTTATGCCCAGCAATGCTATTTCTGGGTCATATGGTATTCCTATTGCCAGGTGTTTTAGGAATCACCATATCGCTTTCCACGGTTGTTGTGTGTATTTACAAACCCACCAGCAATAAGTAAAACTCCAGTCTCTCCATACCCTGTCCAGGATTTGTTGTTCTCTTTTTTTATTGGACTATAGTTGTGGGTGTTAGATGGTATCTCGTCGTTGTT